CACCCAGGAGCCCCGACTCTTTCCTCTTTTTAAATGAAAACATAATTTGCTCTGTTAAATGAGCAAATTGTTGCCTTCCAAGGGAGGGAAAATTCAATTGTCAGAACAAATGTTATTACATTCAAGAAACTCCTGAACGATGAGTCCTGGTTTTCTAGTTTGTAAGAACTTACGAGAAAATCACATGCAATTCTCTGAAAAGATCAATCCCATTCATGACTCGTCCAGCACCAGTCAGAACTCCAAACTAAAGTTCTCACTCGATGACTTCACTTGCTCCTTCCCAGCCTCCTCCTTTCCCAAGTAGCTTTGAAGAAGTTTCTCATTTTATTCAAAGACTCTCAGTCCATTCACAGAAGGGTTTTCTTTACCTCTGAGCACCAAGGTTAAGTCTTCAGGATCCAATAAATTGCAAGTTGGAAACAGTTGAAAGGGGAAAATGTCAGCTTAAAGAAATTAATTATTAGTGCAGGAACTTACTGCACTTTCTCAACATTTCTTCTCGTTAGGCCTCTATAAGGGACTCAAGAGTCTAGATGATCTGAATATAACCTCAGTGTCAGAAACTTTTTCTGTCTCCCTGATTGGTTAGGTTTCCCAACGATTGGGGTTATCCATTTCCAGAGCCCTGGCGAAGATTAAAAAGCAAGAGAACTGTATTAAGTAACAAGCTTGTCTATGGAGTATCCACATTTTAAAAGCCTAGAGATTCTGGGGCGCCTGGGTGGCTCAGTCGGTTAAGCGTCCGACTTCAGCTCAGGTCCGTGAGTTCGAGCCCTGCGTCGGGCTCTGGGCTGATGATGGCCCAGAGCCTGGAGCCTGTTTCCGGTTCTGTGTCTCCCTCTCTCTCTGACCCTCCCCCGTTCATGCTCTGCCTCTCTCTGTCTCAAAAATAAATAAACGTTAAAAGAAAAAATTAAAAAAAAAAAAAAAAGCCTAGAGATTCTGGTTTGGGAAAGCTAAAAAAGTAAACACCAACTATGATGACTGGAGAAGTTAATCTTTCCTTTGCTCAATCTTATACCCATACTTCTAATAAAAATAATTTAGGCTTTTGCCCTTGGAACTATTTCTTACAGAAACTGCTTACCATGATACAAGAATAACTTCCCCTATTTTTTGTTTATTTGTTTTTCCTCTATTTCTATTCTTTCCCACATAGATTAAACCAAAATAAGATTAGCCAGAACTAATTTGATTCCAATCCAAGCCACACACCCTATGTATTCCATTCCAAATCAAGTTTAATTTACTGACTTCCTTGGGTCCCAACTGAATGACCTACTGGAATTCATGAAAGAGGTCACAGAATATTATTGCAGGCCAAAAAAAGAATGTGAAAAACACAAACATGCCTGGAAACAGATTGGCCCAAAGACATGACTTGGTTAAGATGTTTTTTTGTGGAATTCAAATGATAAAAGATCAAGTCTTCCAACAGGAAAAGCAGCTAACATAGATGCATTTGCATTTATACATCATTCATTCATTCAGCAAATATTTATTGAGTACCTATTATACAATCAGCCCACACATACTCATGGACCTTACAATAGTAGAGAAGACTTCAAGAAAACATCTGCTTTTTCTGGTGTCCAGTTTTCTTTTTCTTTCTTTCTTTCTTTCTTTCTTTCTTTCTTTCTTTCTTTCTTACGTTTATTTATTTTTGAGAGACAGAAAGACAGAGTGCAAGTCAGGGAGGGGCAGAGAGAAAGGGAGACACAGAATCCTAAGCAGGCTCCAGGCTTTGAGCTGTCCACACAGAGCCCATCACGGGGCTTGAACTCATGGACCATGAGATCATGACTTGAGCCAAAGTCAGATGCTTAACTAACTGAGCCACCCAGGTGCCCTTGGTGACAATTTCTGCCCTGAACTGTATGTGTGAAATCTGTGGACATAAGCTTTACCTTTTTTTTTTTTAGAAAAAATTTTTATAGTTTATTTATTTTGAGAGACAGAAAGAGATCGCATGCAAGTAGGCAAGGGACAGAGAGACAGGGAGAGAGAGAATCCCAAGCAGGCTTGGCGCTATCAGCATAACGCCGAGCATGGGGCTCAGTCTCATGAACTGTGACATCATGACCTGAACCGACCTCAAGAGTCAGATGCTTAACTGATGGAGACACCCAGGCACCCCATACGCTTTACTTTTGATCTTTTATCTTTTGATAATTTAGAAGCTGAATTAAAAACCTCCCTTTTGATTATGGCAGCCAATAGCTTTTGGATTCTTTTAATCCAAAGGATTTTAGACATTTTTTTTTAAACCTTTTGAAGTCAAGATTGACCTCTAAAGGATAAAGCCAATTTTGTTTGATAACAGTATAAGAGCTAATAACATAGTAACTTTAGGTGGTTTTATACTAGTGATAAATCACTAATACTGTTATAGCTCATGTTACAAACTTCTATATTTTTAACTGAGAATTCCTTTTTATTTTTTTATTTTTTTAATGTTTATTTATTTTTGAGAGCGTGAAAGAGAGACAGAGCATGAGCAGGGGAGAGGCAGAGAGACAGGGAGACACATGTCCGAAGTAGGCTCCAGGCTCTGAGCTGTCAGCACAGAGCCCAAGGCGGGGCTTGAACTCACAGACTGTGAGATCATGACCTGAGCTGAAGTTAGGCGCTTAACCGACTGAGCCACCCAGGCGCCCCAGAGAATTCCTCTTTATGATTTAGAAGATTCCTTCTTAGTTTTAAATCTTTGTTTTGCTTTAACAACATAGCATCTGCCCCATTTGGCTTAAAAACAAAAATTAAATAGGTGATAACGCAGGCTATAGACAAATTAGACTTCCATAAATAGAACAAAAATGTTCACTTCTTGGTTGAAGCATAATATTTTGGCAAACAGGAAATTGGAAAAACTATTTTAGTTCTCATTTCAGCATTATTTAGCTAATTAAATTTGGGCAGGTCTCTCAAGTTATATGCCACAATTTTGTACACTATTAAATGGGTATAAAAATTGTCCTTTAAGTTTTATAAGCAGTACAAAATCATTCAAAAATATTTATATGGTAGCTGGTGCTACTGGTAGATGAATTCTGAAAAGGTACAGGGGAAAAAAAGTCCATTTCCAGTTTCATTTCTTGTAATGTCTTAAAAGACAAGGTACATTTTTTGAGGTTTCTTGTTTAATATCTAGAATACTGTGTTCACATTCAGTGAATTCTTTAAATTCCTTTTCCTAACATCCATTTGGACCGTGAATCCAAAATTATGCAGGCATTTTCCCTATTACATGAAAAGACTGATTGGTTTGCACAAGTTACACAGTAAGTTAGTAGCAGGAGCAAAGGTCAGATTCTCTGATCAATATCCTAAGCATGCCAGGACCATTAGGCTACACCTCTGCTAACAGGAAGACTGTGACACCCTGTCTAATATCAACAGAATTCTCTAAGCTGAGCCTTATTTTGGCCATTGGTTCCTTTCAGTTCACATACGAAATCTTTTTACCAGATCTGCTTCTTTCTCTTTCTCTATTCCTGCCTAACAAGCAAAGAAACAGATAAAAGGAAACCTGTAAGTGCAGAGGTAAAGAATGTGAATAATCCACAAGCCAGAAAAACCTGACTAAATGAAATTAACTAAATGGATTTCTTTTCTACAGTTTAGAACGCGAATTTTCTTAAACCATATGATGAGTCTCAGGATATACAGCAAGGTACAATGTGAGTGCAATTAAATTTCATTTTCGTGAAAATTTTTTCATAGGGTCATAAAATGCAAATGAGAAAGTACACAAGGTGGTTTTAGTAAGAGAAAGAAAAACACCTGTCAAAAAACAGTAAAAAATCATGAAAATCATTCAGAAAAGGCAGTATAGTCATCCAAAGTAATTTATAAGTTGAATGGGGGAGATCTATTGAAAATATAGACACAGTCCTTATAGATTAGGAAGAAAGGAATGGCCTATATAGACAAAGCATATGTGGAAATAATAATACCAATAGTTACGCATTTACCATGCGACACACATTGATCCAGGCATTTTTTTAAAATTCTTACTTAATCCTTACAAATGCTAGATCCTTAAGAAGTTTTACCAATCCCTTAAGAGGATTAATCTCTCCTTCCTCTGTGCTTTATTTACATTATGTCTATCCTTTAACCGTATGTAAATTTATTGAAGACAGAGACCACTGATTCGTTTTAATACTGCCTTGGGCATCTATCGTAGTACCCCACCCAATAAATAGTACAGTTTAAATGAGTGGTGTTCAAACTTTGGATGCATAAGAATCACCAACAGATTTTGTTAAAAGGGCAAATCGCCAGACCCCAGAAAACAGGACTCAGTCAGTGTATCTGAACTGGACCCAGTGATTAATTCAGATACTCAAACATTTATTAAGTACTTTATGTGGTAGGTGTTATTAACTCCACTTTGTAGACAAGGAAACAAAGCCATGGGTAAAGTACTTCCTAACAGTCACAAAACGTGTAATAAGTAAGACTCAGGGTTAGGCTAAAGTAGCAACCAAGGTCTCTCATTCACTCCTTCGTTGTTTCTTTTATTTACTTATTCAAACAAGTATCTGAAAACCTCCTATGGGCTTTTTCAAAAGGAAAATGCACACAGACAACAAATGCCAATTATTTCTGTACCGTTAGAGGACAGTCCTGGAAAAGCTTCCCCTACCAGTGGAGTCCAGAGTTGCCCTCGGAAAGGGTGCAAATCTAGAAGAGAAAAGGGACGTCCTAGTTTTATTTCTAGATATAGCAGCACTTCACTATTTTAGGGATGGCTTTTTACTTTTTTTCAATGGGGAATATATATTTTTGAAATTCCTTTCAATCTTTCTCTGTGTGGTGGCTTAGTTGGCCACTTTTAAGATGTTAAGAAAATCCAAAACCACCTCCTTAAAACCATATTACCTTTGGTAACCCCCACCAATTTAAACTGAAGTCCCAAATATTTTTAGTTGAAAAAAGCGTAATTGCCCGCCTTAATTTTTCTCATTAATCTCACTCATGGGAGAGAAAAGTTCCTACTTCTGAACTTTATTAAAATAGATTAAACTTTCTCATACTCTACAAATGCCACATGACAAGTAAATTACCTATGTTTAAGCTGAGCAAGGTATTGTCTTACTAGAGAGATATTAATCAGATATGTAAGATCTAAGAATAGACAAGTATAAAACCCAATATCTAAAAAACACGAAAGGAATTAGACTGTGTACAATTTCAAGTTAATATACATATAATTGGACAATAAAATATCCACATTCCAGTTAAGACTCTTTTTTTAGGCCAGAGGACAAACATTACTTTCCAACTTGTGCAATTCAAAAGGAAAAACGTTTTAAATACCTCTGTGGCATTCTGCCGTGATTAAAAAATCATCCCTAGTGCTAACACCTAGAATTGCCATCCTCTGTTTTGCTGCCTTATAGTACACATATCCAAATCAAGAAAAAATGCTTCTTGTTCTCCAGGAGCAGATCAGTAGATAAACAACCTCTTGCTTTGATATGCTTCCTGTTCTCTCTTATCAGGACACACCGGTCACTAGTAATCAGGTACACTGAAAAAAACAAGTGGAGAGGTAGAGAAAGAAATTGACTTGTTGCCAACCTCCATGAATTCAAGCTGATTCACCCTGTTTGTTTAGTTCCCGTATCAGCTTGGTTAATGACACTGCCCTGGGATATGTTTGTTCAGGAGTCCATGCAGAGACAATTCTTAGTAGGAAAACAGGCCCAAGCTGAGGCTGGGGATTTGGAGAGGAGAGAGACCTAACTGAGAAATACTCAGAGCCTCTCAAATAAACTAACTCAAGAAGCTCTTTATTTCTAAAAGATATTTTTCTTTACCCAAGACTGTTCAATGTTCCTTCAATAGTTACATTTAGCAGGGGATATAGATTACATTACATTTGAATCAGCACATCCTGCATTCTAGTTTAGGACAGAACTCTGACTTGCCTCATTTGGACTTCTAAGGACAGACAGCCACCCTAGAAAAGCAGAAATCTAAAACCAGATGGTAGTTTTATTGCTTATCCAGAACTTCCTGATAGCCTTTTTTTCCCCCCAATTTCAGGAAAGATTAACTGTTACAATGTTTCTTCACTGGTATAAATCACACTGTAAGAGTTACCTTCATTTTAATTCTTTTCCCATCATAGCTATGAACTGGTGTTGTATCACACATTTTACATGCATCATCTCATTTATTCTTCACAATGACCCAACTAAGTTAGGCACTATTTAATCCTTGTTGCAGATGGTGAAATTATAAAGCAACTCGTTCAAGGTCACACAACTAATAGTGGTACAACCAGGATCTGAATTCAAGTAGGTCTGAACTTGAAAACTAGTGGTCAGGTGGGTCTAATTTGGAAGCTGTGACTTCCAAATTAGTGTGTATACAAAGAACATTAGACGCAGCCCTCGGCTGTAGTACCATGATCCAGCAGATGATGAATAACTATTGCTAAATATTCCTATGACAAATACTAACCCTCCGTCAACTCCTTCAAAGTTTGCTTCAAATGCTAGGTCCTAAAGAAGTCTATCCTAGTCCTTGAAGAATTTAATCTCTCACTCCTCTTTTGCTTGTATAGATTCTATTCTTTAACCATATGTAAGCTTTTTGAGGACAGAGACATCTGATTCATCTGAGTATTCCTGTAGACTCCGGTGACTCTGATGTAGGAGTAGAGGAACTATCACACTTAAAGAAACAATGCTTCACTGAACAATGTAACACTGACTTGAAATCATGTTCTAAAGAGGCAAGGATAAAATGAAAAAGTTAATTTCTGCTATCAAAAAATAAGTTTTATAACTTTCTAATTTAGAAATTAGTATTTTGTAATCTCTAACCTTCCCCCTAAACAGACCTGTGTCACAGACTAATCTTAGCAGTAAACACCTGTTTTCAGGTACTAGCAAAGTATGATTCCACTTCTACTGCCACGTGACACGACATCAGGGTAAATAACATGCTCCTCTCAGTCTTACTTCCTCATCTGCACAGAGACAATCAGTTTTTTAAAAGTTCGGCAAGGGGGCGCCTGGCTGGCTCGGTTGGTGGAACATGTGACTCTTGATCTTGGGGTTGTAAATTTGAGCCCCACGTTGGATATACAGATTACTTAAAATCTTTAAAAAACAAAAAGTTAGTGAGGAAGATGTTATAAACCCACTTGAGACCAAGTAAGAGAACCTCCTCAAGTAGCCTGGGAAAGAGAAACAGCTCTTACCAATATGTTATTTTTAAGAGTTTTTTTAAAAAATCTCAGTTATAAAAGACTAATGCTACTCTGTAAGTCAACCAGGGGTAAATCCTCAAAATTGGATCTAATCCCCCCACATATATCCTTTCCAAATGAAATAAATCTTTAGGCACGAATCACAGGAAATGGATAAAGTGTCCTGACCAATTAAAAAAAAGGGGGGGGGGGAGGTGGTGAATGGATGATTTCACCACAGGGGGAGTGTTTCTCAAGTAACTAGACAACAACAGCCTATAAAGTACACCGTACTTACTCAATCACAAAGCTCAGAAAAAAAGTAAAACCCAGGAAGAAAGTTTTATCTAACCATGGGTGACTTTGGGAATTTTATGAGCTATAAAAACACAGATATTTGAAATTCAATATAAGATTTAACATATAAACTATGAAAAATTACAAATGCTTCAGATGGCCAGAAGATACTAGAAAACGTGGGGCCCTGACTCCCACTGAAGACTTACTATCATCGGCCACTGAAGACATGATTTAGGGGCAAAACTAAAATTCATCTAACAAATTAATGAAAATATGAATTTATGCTCTATATCCACACTCTCAATTTTTTCAAGATTAAGGGAATAAATCTTTCCCAACAATTAGATTTATAAGCATGATTTTGATAACATAAACTAGATAGCCCCATGACATGTATTGAGGCTCAAAAGATAAGTGAATTTCAATTCTCATCTTTTGTAAAAGTCCAAAGGACATTCTAAAAGCAGCACTCTTCAACCCTGTGTCAACTTTTTTATTGGGCAATAAAGAATAGACTGGTGTAGGCTACGATTTTTTTCACTGCAATGTCCTTTTACCTAGTACAAAGACTAGCACAAAATAGTATGCATTAAGTATTTGTGAACCAATGCAAGATACAAAATGCAAGAATTTAGGTTATAGTTGGTTTCCATAATCTGGAATAAAGGAATGGATCCTTCTTTCTGGATGAAGGCATGGGCAGGAATGGAGAAAATCATTTGCCAGTATTATTACATGGTCCCCCAGGTGATGGCTGACAGCAGCTGGGCTTTATTCTAAGCACTATTAAGGACTCCTGGTGGCTCAGTCAGTCATGGGGCAACTTCACAACTGCTTCTAGCCGTCATCCAACACTTTTTTTCATTTAAAAAAATAAAGGAGCTTATATTAAGCAACATGTAACTTAACACTCAACCTGATGCCTTTTAAAAAATCTAGTATAGTTAACATACAGTGTTATATTAGTTTCAAGTGTATAAAATAGTGATTCAACAATTCTATATGTTACTCAATGCCCAACAACATTAAAAGTACTCTTAATCCCCTTCACATATATCATCCATCCCCCCTCTGGTAACCATCAGTTTGTTCTCTATAGTTAAAAGAGTCTGTTTCTTGGTTTGTCTTTTTTCCCCTTCATTCATTTTGTTTCTTAAATCCCATGACTGAAATCATATGGCATGTCTTGCTCTTATTTCAATTATCCTATCTCCATTCATGTCACTGAAAATGGCAAGATTTCATAGTTTCTTATGGCTGAGTAATATTCCCTTGTGTTTTCCACACACACACACACACACACACACACACACACACACACACACCTTCTTCATTCATTCATCCATCAATGGACACTTGGGCTGCTTCCATATTTTGGCTGTTGTAAATAATGCTGCAATAAACAGGGCTGCATAGATCTTTTCAAATTAGTGTTTTCGTGTTCTTTGGGTAAATACTCACAAGTGGAATTACTGGATTGCGGGGTAGTTCTATGTTTAATTTTTTGAGAACATCCATACTATTTTCCAGTGGCTGTACCAGTTTACATTCCATCATCCAACATTCTTACTCCTCCTCTCAGGACTGCCTCACAACCTGCCGTGAAGACTTGACAATGGCCAGTACCTCTGCATAGGTCCTCATTCAGAATGACCAGAATTGGAAATGTATAGTCTCTACTAAAATCCATACTATGAGCTTGAGTCAAATTTTAATGTTGTGGGGTGCAGAAACCACAATTTGCGCACCTTTTTTTAATATGAATTTTAGATTATATCAGCTCTCTTTTCAAGCCCAACTTAATGAATATCTATCTACACATTTCTACACAGTTGGTGGCTGAATTCTAATATGAACACTTTACTCAAAAGAAAATCTTGACTTCTATAATCAATCTCCTGAGATTGTCAACAAGCATGAATAGATTTAAATTTCCAAAATAAAAAAAAAATATCAAGATACATTTAAGGCCTATTTGAATAGAAAATGAGAAAAATAAATGAAAATGGCAAAGGAACAAGTATAGTTCTGTCACCTCCTTCAAATTTTCCAGTAAAAGTAGAAGTTGGAATATGTCTCAATGTCCATATATAGCTTTTACAGTTAAGAAGAACTCTATAAATGCCTTCTGGTTTTTGTATCATTTGATAATCTTTTTAATGTTTATTTATTTTGAGAGAGAAACAGAGAGCATGAGCAGAGGGGGGAGAGAAACACAGAATCCGAAGCAGGCTCCAGGCTCTGGGCTGTCAGCACAAAGCCTGACATAGGGGTCGAATTCAAGAACCGTCAGATCATGACCTGAGCTGAAGGCAGATGCCCAAAAGACTGAGCCACCCAGGCACAACCTCATCTGATGATTTCTATCAAAGCTTTAGTTTTCTACAAAGAAAGGTAGCTCTTGATTCTGGGTCCTGAAAGGGAATGTACAAGATGAGACTGAACACTTTATGCTGCAAAACAAGGAAGGACCAAAAGGACACAAGAGCCAACCTGGAAAACTCTTACCAGCTACACATGATATAATCTGGATACAAAAATAATGACTGCAGTGGACTAAAACACATTAAATATATAAACAAACATATGACTTACCTTTGGAGATTGTTTGAGCTGTGGCTCATTATTAAAATAAATGAAGGGAAAAATCAATGTGATCTTACCCATCTTTTAGGGCAATCAAGTAATTGATAAATGAAAAGTTTCTAAGAATTCGTACTAGTGTAAATAGAATGATAGAATTAGAAAACTATATGATAGGGGCACTTGGGTGGCTCAGTTGGTTCAGCATCTGACTTCGGCTCAGCTCGTGATCTTGCAGTACGTGAGTTTGAGCTATGTGTCAGGCTCTGTGCTGACAGCTCAGAGCCTAGAGCCTGCTTCAGATTCTGTGTCTCCCTCTCTCTCTGCCCCTCCCCACCTCATACACCGTCTCTGTCTCTCAAAAATAAACATCAAAAAAACTTTTTTTTACATAATAATGGTAACCTGAATGTTAATCTTAACATCATTAAAAGTGAGAAAAGACA